TCCTATATACTACTAGTTTCAGTCGCAGAAATCTACTTAATATTCTTTATGTTAGAAAGAAAGGTCTTCGGAAAATCGATTTATACTCGTAAATTTTCAAACAGGTAACGCCGGCCCGTTGTCAGACCAAATGAAAAGTGGAGAACTCTTTATATTTATTGGTTCCAAAGCGTGTCAATAGATTTAGAAGGACTCTTTTTCGAAGAATAAACTTGCTTAAACTACTTGGTGCAGTTACAGATTACTTCACTCATAAAGGTCTCTTAATTTCTGATACGAAAACTGTTGATTAGGCATTCCATTTGGGCTTAAGCTTCTTTCAACATGCGCCACAGCCTGAATTCACCTTTCGTCGTGCTTTTTAAATTCTAATAATTCTCTAGTGTCCACGGTCTGTTGCCCGCGGGAATTTTCACTGAATAGGACAGGAGGCAATCTATCTACTCTCGGTGCCTCGTGTTTATTAAGCCGCAGTACTGTGTGGCTTTCTCTTAGCTACTCCATCGAAGGCGTCTGATGACATAGTGGCCAACCGGTCTGGTGGCAACGCCGAAACTCCTAAACACCGCTTTAACGGTTACACCCAAATAGAATTGCGTCTTGCCCGAAAGGCAACTAGTGATATTAATCATCCTTCTGATAGCTTAGCAAATCCTTTTCACTTCCATGGGCAAATCGACCAGTCACGGACAGCGTAAAAACCAGACAAGGCACAAGATAGCGACCTCAATTCCGCCCGAACTTTGCTAGGTGGCCTAAACTTATTCCTTTATGCGGAGGAGACAGTAGCACCCAACCGACCATGCGTTTTTTTTTATCTAAAGTTCATTCCGGACAAGAATGTATGCTCAGCACTAAGCCGCAGTAAACGATCATCCTTTTCAGTAAAACGACTATCAGTCGACGGAGAGCCCTCTGTAGGTGAGAAGGACTAATCTGAGTTTATAGATTGCTCGATACATTAATATTACGGTTCGTAGTTTTGTCTTACAAGTAGTCGTAAAAGTCCCTTTTGTTAGCGTTGAGTCTATATCTAGAGGGGCATATATAATCTTTGTAAGCACTGTTTCTGGACACCACTGTCGACGACCGTAGCAGATTCAGTTTCTCTCTTCGGAAGACTTTTTTGTAGCAATGGTGCCTGGCAAGTGCTGAATCTATGTCCTATCCTGTGTAATAGATCTCTTTATCCCTACCTAAATGCTTATCCAAGTTTTTAATTTTTTTAGGAAACCTCAACTTTAGTGGCACGGCGCATGTTGTCAAACTGACTGGAAACTACTGGGTTTCACCTATCGAGGATCAGCTTCAAGTAGGAATCTCGCACGTATTCGACTACATTCGATCAGAAACCTATAAATTGTAAGTTGTCAGTTGCACTCGAAGTACATATTCTTCTTGAATTCTAAATTCAGTTTATTACAAAAAGCATGAACAAATACTTTGGGTCTACATTGACAGTGGCCGTGAGCTTCCATACCTCTAGTCTGTGCTGGATTTGCTCATTGGCCTTAGCGTTAGCTACTCGACACGTCTACGGATAGCCGATAGACAATCGACTTTCAGCTAGAGTTAGCAGGAAAGTAAGTAGGCTCTCGGATTTAACAAATAAGCAGTTGTGGAAAACCAACAGCATTCTTATCCTGTCCCAAGGCCGGATGGTTATGCTACATCACAGCAGTCGCTAATTGAATAGTTCTTCGCCGTTGCCCGGTGCATAGCCTAATAAACAAAAACGTTAAATGAGACTTTCCTGAACAATAAATGAGCAGGTATCGGAGGCGCGCGGGGTATTTAAAATATGCAGAGGTCCTTATGAAATTATTGAACTCAAATGCTACCACGGCGTCCGCGGCAACCAATGCACTATACAACTGTAGTTCGGTGATACGGACAAATTATATGCAGGCTGAACCGCCTACTCTGGAACGGACCTTTGATATTGAATGCTGGAATGTTAAAACGTTCCCGAGATATGGCGCTAATCGTGACGGCGCGCAGTCCTCAACACTAAAACCCGAATGTCTGCTGTCTATCTGAAATCCGAATGTCCTGGTAAGGCTCACTGCAAATCAAGATCCCAAGGAGCAACTCGCACCCCACCCCGTGTCGCAGCGTTCCACGATTACCGTGGATTCGATGTATTTCAACTTAAACTTTGCGCTATAGCCAAAATTCAATCGACATTCAGCCCCACCTTATAATACTGTATTTACCGGCAATATGGCAGTTAAAGCCTCAGTTTGGAGATGGCAAGGCGGATATCCGCCCAGCAGTCGGCACCCCGCATTCTGTTGGTCAGTGGGTCATCACGCTGGTCATGCCTCCGAACCGTGACGTAATTCGATAGGTGCCAGTGACGCGAGCAACGGCGCATACACATTGACGTTTTCCTAATCGTAAGCTGGGTGTTTGTCAGGAAAAAAACTGCTCCACGGAGGCTCGCTAGAGTAGAAGGCCATTGCTGCCATAGTCGCCTGTCCCGTAGTGATCTAGCAACCAATCTAACATCGTGACGCGGGAATCAATGTCGCTGTGACCTGTCAACTTGTCCGTCTTCGGCA